AGTGACTGAAAAGAGTATTTTCATACCTTCACTCTATTAGGTGTAGTTTCTATTGCCGAGATATATACTTTTATAAAGTTGAAATCAGATAATTCAATCGGGACTGATTTCTCTAAAAATCTCTCCCCTCGTCCTTTAGATAATTTCTGGGAATGAATAAGTATAGTTTTGCTGTATCGGTCTGCTATCAATACCGAATGCTATTGGTCACTTTAAGATTTCTTTAACAAACTATATCGAAATGTTCCTCTCAAAGCAAAAGGAACTGATGACCAATTCTCGGTTCGCCAACTTTCACAGGCCTACGTATCACATTTTTTTTTGTAAATTTCCATATCGCAACGTAACGGATTCTTAGGCAAATGCTTTCTCTTTTTTACTTGTATTTCAATATCTCAATAAAAAATGCTATATCTAATAGAATTCTTACTAATATTACAATGTGTATTAGACTAGAAATATGATACTATCATAGACATGTACAAAAAAACGTACCCGCTTTCAAGACCCTACTTCCACCAATGAAATAATCCAATTTTGTTTCTTTTCAACATCATAAACAACGAGATTTACCTGATGGAGAGTGACAATAAGGATATACTTTTAGTGAAGATGAATACTGTGGATGAATTTTACAATTTTACTCGATTCTAGCTTAATTCAAATGATGCCAAGTATGGGACTATTTTAGTCAGATAAATTCGGACAATATTTTTCTTATTATCTTAAATTTTTAGTACATCCGATTAAAAATATGTTTGATGTTTCGAAATTGAGATGATTTGGGACCAGAAAATGGTATACAGAGATTAACCTTTTCTGTTTATTTTTATGATAATAGCATATTCATCAATATTTGTGAGAAGATCTACTTCTAAAACCTCTTGACAAACCCATATATTGGTATGTACCATTTTCTAGTGCTCAGATTGTCTGTAGATAATGCACTCGTGGCAAAGGCCTCGTCTTGCAGGGTACTATTAACGAGCTACAATTTCCTGGGAATGAGAAAATTTTATAGTTAAGACACAGGGCTATCGATTGCCAAAAAAACATTTTCGAGAATTTTGTGTGCTGAATAGCTATGCTATAGATACTACGGTAACGCATTCACTATTTGTTTTATGAGTGTTTCTTCTGAGTATCTAGTGCTTTCTTTCATACTTGTTAGAGAATAGAACGTTTATTTTTCTTTTATTTTCGAAGTATTACCCATCTTTACATTAATATATAAGCATGAACCGCTAGGCATCTTCAATTTCTACAGAAGGACTCCTTGAAAAAGGAATTCTACCACGTAGTTTGCATGAACAGTGCTATGTATGTGCAAAAACTACGACGCAACTAAAAAGGTCATCCACTTGGTTGCTCGAATCTCTCACAAATTAAGAGCAGAAATCTTAATAATTTATACTGTGTATTCGTTCTGGAACGACAATTAATACTCAAAAGTGTTACATCAACTCATTTGATACTTGGTGCTAATAAAAGAGAAGTGCATAATAGTAATGTGCTCCAAAAAAAGGTTTCTTTTATAGTAGGGTCATATTAATTTAAGTTTCTTTGAACAATAAAACTATAAAGGTGCATAGTCAAGAAGTTAGGTCTATATATTAGAGACATTAATTTTCAAAAGCATCATGCTATTTACATTATTTGGTCTACATATCTTAGGAATATATGTAGGTTTTTTTTGCTGAATTTCTATCATTTCTGTAAAAAAAACTTTTTTTCTCTTCCTTTTAAACTCTTTGACCTAAATATTCCAATAGAATATATTACTACTTAGACACTATTCTTTGTTTTATTATTACTCTATAACAAAATTTTCAACATTCTGTAAATGGATGCTTATATTTGAAATGAGAAACTTGTACCAATAGTGCAAAATAAAGTTTTTCTGAAACTAATGATAGTTGTTCTCAATCAGTGCTGTAAATTTTACACCATATCATTTATGCATCTTATTGAATTTTGGAGATTCTTTGAATAAATAGAAATATAAGGAATTTTTATTGCAATGTTTTTAACTGTACGCAACTGGAAAAGTCATTAAATTATTGCCGCAAAATAATCACATTGAAAGTTATATCAAGTTCAAACACTAACTAGTATTCAATCGTAAGATCAAAAAAGCATCTGTGAATTCGTCGCAAAATAAACTAAAAGATCGTTTTGTTAACTCGTTCAATCCAGAATTAATCAAGTTTTAAGGCAATATTCGTGTTCTTTCGACCGTCATGCATCAGATGAAAATTATATGAGAAGAAAGTCCTCATCACGTATTCTTCGATTCTATGAAAACAATGAAAATTTTCAAAAACTGATTTGATTGTTTATATAAATATATTGCCCATTGAAAGAGAAGATAAAATAAAATATATATCGTGAAATAGAAAAGTATACCCTACAATATGTTATTTTTAGCTTCTGAAAATATTCAGTTTCTAATTTAATCACTCCGGTTGACAGTGAGCCAGACTAGCCGCTCTATAGCTTTCAAGGCTACTTATTGCAGCTTCCCCACTCCCATTACAGACGTAAACCCCATTACAAAACTTCATAACCAATTATTGATTAGAAAAAAATAATCTTTTGAAAATCTAGAAATAAATAAAATAGATTTTTTACATTAGTGATCAATTAATTTGAAAAATAAGTATAGCTCTTGGGAAGTTTTCCATTTTGCGTATTGTTGATCATTTTGTTAAGGCTAAAGGGACCTACGTAAGATCTACATTTTAGCCCCAAAGGGGCTGTGCTGAAAAGCTTTTTGAACAAAGTTTTGCACTCAAATACTAGTCATACGCTATATCTTTCACCAATAGTCTCCTAGTATGTGTCACGTAAAATATGCGACCTCACCAATTATTTACCAGGTTAAGTGTTCAAAAAATTAATTGCTTGCTCTTTTAGTTTTGATTTATTCTATAAAATACAATTTAACGAGCACCTTTCATTGAATTTTGTCGAGTCTCAACCAGAACTTTTTTCAAAAAGTTGAATCTGGTTTTATTTGACTAGTCTGATTCTACAATTTTCTCAAGTATTTTTAGTTGTCAAACTATGATGGATGGTACTGAGGAATAAATATTAATATATTTATTCTCATCATCACCTCATTGTGCAATATGCTTTCTTTTTATTAAAAGAAAAAAAAGTATAACACTTCCCATCATTAGAATTAGTCCTGTTTACTAGTGCATCACAAACTTTGAAAACGAGAATGTTTCACTTCTTTGCTGTCATTATCTTGCTACGTACAGCCACACTCGCTCTCAAATGTATGACATTGAATTTTACTATGGAATCGTCATTCGAAGGGTTTGTTTTACCTGAATTCAACAGAGCTGTTAATTTCCTGCAACCCAGTACTAGAGAAGATTATTGAGAAATTCATATTTTGGTTCAATATCGAGAGCGTTTGTTTCTAATGCGCTCTTTAAAACATGCGACTGAAAGTCTCTCTATGTCAAACATTATTTAACGATCAGATGCGAAGGAGAGGATTGGTGCGATCGTGAGTTAATACTTGTTAATCTTCCTTGGCTGGTGCAAAACAACTATGAAGCTGTTATGGATAATGTGGCTCCATTATTTATGCAGCAAACTGAGAAGTCAGGTACAAATTAGAAAAAGGAAACTTTTTATAAGGTTTTCAATTTATAATCGTATCAACTTACTTGAAACAGACTATCTTTAGTTTGAAGATCTCTCTCGACTCCATGGATCCTATTGAAACGATATCAGTCGAACTATTTAAATTTCATCTTTCCCACTTAACTGACCTGATAGAAGAAAATTTTTCAGCGCAGCCGCTTCGGGCTAAAATGTGAAGCTTACTTATATCCTAAAACCTACACACTCGTAATATACAATACATAAAATGAACAGTGTCTTGTAAACTAGTATTTTACCAGAATTTTGATAGGTTAAGTGAGACTATGCTCTCTCTACATTTGGAACACGAAAGTTTTCTTTTACTTGACGTGTATTCAATTTTATTTTAAATTCTTGTGCTTCTTTTCCAATTTAATATTATTATCTTTTTGAAATATTGATTTATCTCGGAAATAAGACTTATGATTAAGGGCGTGGGTGTGAATTTTTATGTCGAGAAAAGCTATTCACATCAACACTACCACAGATAAATAACTTCGATGTTTGTCTGTGATCTGTTCTGTTGTACTAAATGTCAGTGATAATGACGGGACTGATCGACTATGTTGAAAGAAATCGCATATCCATCGTCCTATTTTAGTACCATGCCATTCGTTTGAGTAGAACGATGAAGGTAAAATGTAGAGCATGAAGCTAATTAGTTGTGGAATGAATGCGACTGGGTGCGAAGCAATTAGAAAATATCGTATCCAGCTACTCTCCAGATTTTGACAGTAAAATGTAAACGAAATGACAAAGAGTGGTAGCGAAAATAACTGTGGCACAACAGTAATACCAGGTCCGATTACTAATTCTTTGTTTTCGCTAAGTACGTCCAACATGAGACGAAGATACATTCTAATGTTGACCAAAATCGACTGATTACTACTAGAACCTATTGGAAGAAAATGATTATGATCGCAAACTATTTAAAATTCACTTCATCACCGTATTGTCTCACCTTGTTGCTCATTTCTTTTCATGGCTGTTCTAGTATCTAAAATAGCGATGAATATGATTTCGTAACAGCATTTTCATTAATACGTACAAGTTTTTGTCGTACGAATCTTCATTTTCTTTTTGATCAGTATACAACTGATCAAGATCGTACAACAAATGTTGATGAAAAGCGGTAGCATAGTGTTTATAACCGAAATAATTAAATGAAAGAGAAGCCATGTTGATCGATGAATGACTGGAAATTCAAATATACACATGGGACCTTTGCCATCGTTAATGCCGAATAATGATTTGATAAAAATAAGTTCATGAATATCACTAATCAATACAACGACCACCGTAAAAGCGATTAGGCGACGGGCAATGTGTGGCTTTCTAAGCTAACGTCCGTTGAGAAACAGCGTCATGTAAACACGTTCGATGGCTATGAGTGATGCAAGCCAATATACGATTCGGCTCGATGATGTGAGAAGAAAACTAAATATTTTACAAAGATAATTATCTAGTGAACTGTCGGAATGAAGTTCAGTTATATTTATTGTTAGATGTATTAGACGAGCAGCAAGAAATCCAAGATTGAATTGATTGATAATGCTCATATACAGCAAATATTGACCAATACCATTACGAAGACAATTTTGCCGACGAAAAGTAACGATAGAAAATAAGTTATTTGGTAGTGCTAATAGAAATAAAACCAGAGGTAGGATGATGAGTAATCGAACTATTGCTTTTCGATTGATAGATATAAGATCGATAAAAAATAGCTGATCAAGAGTAAAAGCAAACGAATTTGAGTTGAACTGGCAATGGGTACCTGAATGACATGGTGGACATAGACAGATGAAATCAGTCGATTTGACTTGATCTCCTTTCAAGCATCGACCGCCGGCTAAGCAATGAGAGCATTGATCATGTTTGGAATCGTAACGAAAGCATTCGACTCGACTGTGGTTTTCACTGCATATGCATAAATAGAAATCATCTCGAAAACAAAACAGATCTGTATTGTTTAGACAGAAATGATGGTATTTTATTGGAGAGTAATTTGAAATCAATTGAGCACTTTTATTTAACATTAATGTACGAATATGGATGCATCAGCCTTTTTCATTTACTTGAGTAGTAGCGTAAATTGATGCAACATTAATATGAACAGAAATTAAATAAAACTCAGCAGGCAGTTCAATTTGAGAAGAATACAGTTTAACTAAAATAATTGCTGGTATTGTTTTTCGTTTATTTTTATATTCAATTAATGTTGGCAGAGTCCGATAGACTTGTTGATGAACAAGAATGAGATCGAGAGATATAAAATCAATTTCAAAGTATTGAACAACAGCTCCTATATGATGAACACTTTCATTAACATATAATTGAATTTCAGGTTTTTTCAATTCACAATTACTGCCACGATATCCTTCAGTACATAAACATAAGATAATATCTGGTTTAGCAGTTGGATAGCACGAACCGTTGTTTTGGCAAGGATTCGGTAAACATTTATCATATTCAATATTACATTGTTCACCGAACATGTCAAACAAACAGATATAAAACGGTAGTTCATTTCCCAGTAATACACCACGGTAATTTGGTTTGCATAGAGACCCCACTGTACAGAACCCGTTAATACAATGTTTATCCTCAATCGAACAATTCTCTCCTGTAAAATTACTTTTGCAGAGACAGATATATTTCGATTTTTCATTCATTAATTGTTGACAATCTTGATTTTTATTACAAGGATTACTCGAACATGGATTTTGTATCACAGTTGGTTTTGTTAGTTGAAGTACTTTGGCAAGACGATATACAGGTAAATAATCGAAATAGACTGGATACTGCCATACTGCAATAAGGAATGGTTCTCCCGAATCATTTCTTTCATAGATTTCAATACGAATTGAATATGGATGATATCCGACTGATTTACGTATCGTTGGTTTTTATGTTGAAGAAATCGAGGCGAATGAGAATACAGAAAATGCATCATCGTTTTTGAATAGATGATCATTTCAGCTGTTGGACGAACATGAAATAGGTTACTAGTAATGGTTTCATTATTAAAAAGTAATAGAACAAGTATCTTGAGTACAATTTTAACATTCATATCCACTCGATAGATCGACTGAGAAAGATTAAGATGAAGAAGTACCGTTATTCGATCGGTATGAAATTCACATTTATCACCGTAATATTGCGGCGGACAGAAGCAAGCGATTGAACCATTATTCATGTGTACACCAACACCTCGATTGCACCAATATGCAATTGGCTCTGATTTGATATCTGGTGACGCTGTTGCTGCTTGAGTACTGTTTGCCGTAGAATTCAAATCGGTCTCTAGTTTACTAATGTTAGCATCAGCTGGAAATCCGAGCAATCGAAGTTTATTATTTGTATTTTTGGCTCCGAATTCTTTGTCTTTACGATAAGACACACTAATTAGTTTCGACTCTTTTTCATATTCACACATATATTCATCTTTACCGAACGAACATTCTAGAATTCGATTGCATCGGCCACGTTTCACACATGTACCATTGAAACAAACAGAATCCACGAAAATATCGCAAGTAGGCGAATTTTGCCGAATATCACACCAAAATCGATCATCCGAGTTTATCGTGCATCGACTTCCTGAACAGTGATCCCAATATGGAATGCATTGATTACTTGATTGACATTTGAAATTATATCCAAGCATTGTTAACTGATCACAATGCGTTATGGTATTACGTTCGTGAATGGCTCCATAGCAGTCGACATGATTATCCCCAATTTTCTGTCGGCTAATGCAAGGTCGATTATATGTTAAGTTATCCCATGGATTTGAACTATTGACATGAAAACATGGAAATTCCATTGTCAGATTAGAAATTGACGAAAATGGCGATGTTCTATATAAATCGATAGATTTATTTGCCAGCTTAGAATATGAAACTAAACGTAGAGTTCGATCTGAGAGAAACGACGAGAGGAGATCAGTTTCATCGGATGCATCAAAACAATCCCATACACCATCTAATACCCATTCTGCTTCGATGCATTGTCCAGTGTTACATTTCCATTGTTCTTCTGGGCACACCCATGCATCGCTGCATTCGTTCACATTTTCATCTTCTTGGGAAGCTAAATTCCTGAATGTATTACAATAGCTACGAAATGGTATTCGAACTTGTTCAACGATTTCGTTCGTTCCGCTCAATATCCAAGATTTTTCAATGTATTCTCGAAGCATTCCACATTCATCCTTCCACAGTTTATTACACTTGACATCTATTAATTTTGCACTCGTACCAAACCAGCGCTCATCAAAAAAGTTTTTACAGTCATTTTGAAGATTTCCAAGAGCAGTTACACTTAAACACGTCGGTTGCTCAAAAGAACAACGGAAACGGTAACGTTGAACTTTTGAACATATTTTATCTAAAAGATAATCATTTGTTTCATCCATTTCATCGGTACAATCCATAAATCCATCTCTCATACGATAGATTGAAACACATTTGCCAGGTTTGCTGCATATAGTACGAGAGCTATACGGGCGATTGTTGAAAGTTAATGAATGAGAATAACAAGATTGATAATAGCTTTTATTACCGAATGAAGATCTATTATTTGCATAGCGACACAATGAATCTTCGATTCGAGGAAGTGTTGAATAGTTTGAAAATTGCGCACCAGGGATATCGATTAGCGTATCTTGGCATTTAATTGTTCCATTGATCCAAAAAAAATCTGGTGCAACCGAAGAAGCATTTCGTGTTCGATAATAGACAGATAAAATATAAGGCGCTAAGATTCCAGCTTTTGGAAATTGAATATCATAATAAGGACATGTTGTATTGAGTCTATCGATACAGGAATTATCAGTACACGAACAATTCTGTTCTGCTCCTTTTGATAAAATACATCTGAGAAGATATTGACATTCATCATGAATAGTACGATTGGTTACATTTACTTCTTCGTATCCAACATCTTCATAACATCGTCCATTAGGTAATGTCCACTTTTTCTTTACGTAATGTGTTTCACACATAAAGTATTGTTCACGTCGGTTTCGACATTGTGAATTGATTTGTGTCAATCTCTGAAATTGTAATCGATCAGGAATACATTGTCCATCACCACATGGCCATTGATTTCGTGGACAAATTCGATCATCACATTGAGCACTCGCTTCTTCTATTGGGCAATTTCCATCATCGTAATATTGAATTTCATCGCTCCAATCTAAACAATCAAATTCACCGTCGAGAAAATATTCCTCAGGAATACACATTCCATTCATGCATCGATACTCATCATTTTCACATTCATTAAATTCGAGCTTGTCGCAGTTATTTTCATCCAATCCTGACATACACTGTTGAGCAACCATCGTAAATATCTCGCCAATCCAAACACAATAGACCAAAATTACATTCCAGTGTCATGTAACAAATGATATCGCCGTATATTTGAGCATATTTTGGATGAAATCTTTTTAGTGAAACTGCTGAATTAAGTGTCTCTGCAAATGTGGTGCCAGTTGGTAGCAGATATTCGCAATTCTTTCCGAAAGATTGTGCGTTTATGCATTCGCATAAATATCCATCGAACTCATTCGGATGTTGCATGTAACGCAAGTATTGGTCCACTTTCTCAATACTTGAGTTCCATTTATGTAAGATAATGCTAATACTGATATTATCGGCATAAATTTCATCAAATGAATGAACGATTCCCTTGTTGTAGCGCTGTTTTGTGTCGCTGCTTCTATTTAAATTGATCATTTCCTTTGGACGGCGACAATAAAATAAACCATTATGAAGAATACAGTCATACAATTCAACTGAAGAGCTGTCTACTGTGTTGTAAACATAGACTGCAACATCAACGTAGAATAAACTAAATAGCTCAAGTACTAGACTTATTATTGCCATTAATACTGAAGCTTACAATCTTCTATTATGGATTTATCTTTAATTAGCATAGATAGATATTCTATAGCAAAAAATGAATAACAATTCTTGTGATATTAAATTATAAGAGTGTGCCTTTGTAGAAAGAGGCTCGATCAAATTTCATTGTTGTCTGCCTGTTAATAATAGATGAAACGATCACGTAATTATTGTTAGACGAGCAATGCCAACGCCAATTATGCTCACTTGTTCCGGTGTTTTTTTGTTCATTCTGCGTATTCATAATCAGCCATTTGAAGTCAAACAAGAATTGCTGACAATTTTTCTTTTGCTTTGCTAAAATTTCACTCCCATGAGAATCAGTATTCTCTGAAAATCGTAAAAGGCTAGCTTGTGTGTAGGTAAAATGAAAGAAAGCGAACACCCACACTCTCAATTGATGAAAGCTAAACCTATGGTATTTGGAGAAATGTTTCGATTGTGACTCCAAATTCACGGAATCGGAATCCGATTTTTGAGTTACGACGAAGTTCGCTATTGTCGGCGAAATATTTGCTTTTCTTTCGTTCTGCACATGTCATGCGGCGGTAGTAGCTGCTACTTGAAAAAAAAGCGTAGAACGAACGATAAGAAAACATGTGACGCCGCACCATACTAACCAATATAATATTTTTCCATTAGAAATTTAAATTGTGCTTGCCAAAATACTGCCCGATATTATTGATTTAGTTTCATAAAAGAATAAAGAACTGAAAGTAAACAGGATATTGACGCACATCGGCGTCATGACTCATGAAAAACAATGAATCTATATGACGTTTTTCAATATACACTTCACAAATATATGTCGAAATAACGAAGTTTCTTATAATCTTGCTGTTTACTCGCTCCACGAGACCATGGTATATAAGAAGCAACGGATTGTAGACTAAAGGGCACAGTTGTTCCTCAATTGGATCCTACAATATGAACCAAATCGATTATACGACAACGTCACCACGCTTTTCAGTGACTAATAACAAAGAATTAGATGAAGGCTTAGCCTATTTGAATGAACATGGTTATGTTGTTATTAGTGATGTTATGAGTCAAGATGAAGTTAATATGAACAAAGAGTTATTATGGAAATTTATCGAAAACGTTTCTAATGGTACCATCAAACGTGATGATCCAGAAACATGGTCAAATCAATGGTAAATACATATTTTCTCAATTACATTTCTATGCAAAACAATGGAAATTTGATTTTTCTAGGCCATCTTTCAGTTCTCATGGTGTTATCAGTGGATTTGGTATTGGCCAATCAGAGTTTTTATGGAGTGTTCGATCGAATCGCCAAGTCAAAAATATTTTTGCCCGTTTATGGAATACGCGTCAATTGCTTGTATCATTCGATGGATGTGGTGTCTTTCGAGACTGGCGTTACAATTCGACTTGGAAAACAAGTGGCGGTTGGAATCATGTAGATCAAAATCCAAAATTGAAGCCCGACCGTTGTTGTGTTCAAGGTATTGTGTCATTGACTGATCAAAATGAACGAATAGGTGGTCTTATTGTTTATCCACGTACACATTTACGGTTTACTGAATTATGTGATGTAACCAAGAAATCGAACGATTTTGTTCAAGTACCTTCTGATCATGCGATTATGGATCAAGGACGAACACGTGGTAAACTTGTTCATTGTCGTGCGGGTGATCTTATCCTTTGGGATAGTCGCCTTATTCACTGTAATTCACCTGCTACTGCTATCGAGGAACGACGCCCAGACGAGCACGTTGACCTATTACGTATTGCTGTATATGTAAGTATGAGTCCAACGACATTCGTCCATGATCAAACACTTGATGAGTTTCGAGAAAAACGAAAACAAATGGTAGAAAATAACTACACTCTGACACACTGGAGTACTGAATTGGCTGTATCACGTAAGGTTTTTTTTTGATGAAACATAATCTTGATATAGTTTTTATCTCAAATTCTTTCAGTTGGCAATCATACTGACCTACCTAAATTATCATTGGATACGTTCGGTGCTTATCAAAAAGCTTTAATTTTCGGTACCAACGACGAGAATGATGAATGAACGAAATTTTACATTTTTTTTATTTGTGTAATTGTTTGTCTTGCATAATTATAAACTATATCTAATAAAAATTCGGATATTTTCACTATAAATTTTATAGCTCGTTAATAGTTTTGATCAAATAATGATTTCAGATCAAACTACGATGGATGTGGGTGTGAGTATAAGGTTGGATATCAATGAAAAATTTAATCCAAACCCACAGCCGAATAATTGTCGTCATAAGTATGATTTTAACTGTAGTGTCAGACTACATATTCTTGAGATTCAGAGGAATATAGCAAATAGGATCATAGGTCACTTGACCTGTATGAAGATGTCTTCTAAAAAGAGACGAAAGTGGTTTTCATTAGAATATTAAAATATGATATTCATAGTGGAAAAGTATCAGTATGCATGGTTCTATTTGAGTAAATACTGTTACTTTGAGATGATGAGCTATGCAAAGTTATTATTACACAAGACGATCGAAGATCTTTCTGTTTAACTATTGCTAATTTGTATGCCGCTCATGATCGTTTGGAAGTTATCAGCAGTTCTCTCAAAATTTCTGCTCACACTCTACTTTCTTTGTGTAGTCACGCATCTTAACGTTCTTCGCATCTTTTATTCACCGAACACTTATGTAACTTCCCATCGGTATATTTTTTTATGTTACTGTATCTTGCTATGCTCAGAGTATTCAATCAATTTTGTTCTATGAAATTGGAATAATCCAACTGCGGTTTGATGGACAGGTGCGCTAATGATTATTTGCTGAATATTATTTTCATTTCGATGCTTTTTTCGTTTACACAATTTGCACTTTGACGGTTATATTGAATATAATTTTCGAATGACGACTCCCTAAGGTGAAACATATTTATATATAATTTCAATCCGTCTGATTATATTTTCTCAATATTTTATTCAAAAAGAAAAATGCAAATATTACCTACAATAACTGTATCGTCTTGCCGAGCCAAAATGCAACTTGTTTGCGTACTCCTTGCTCAAGTGTTAGCTTATATTGCATTTAATATACCTACAGGCGGCATGCGTTTGATGTTGGTAATGCCGGTAGAATACAAGCTAGAATGCTCCGTTTCATTTTTTTACTATGCAGCAATAGTTATTTGTTTTATTCTATTGACTCGCATCAATCGAACGAAAACTCTAACAGAATTGAAAAAAATCATAACATCAATTAGTATTCGTTCGCAATTCGTTTCAATCAACTTCACGGCAGTGGTACATGAATCAAGAAATTTAGCTTAATTCTGATTTGTATTTTTTTTGTTCTCTATGGTGAATTGATCATTTAAGGTCATTTTTGAAGCTTTACAACGATGGCTTCTCGCATATGATTCTGCGAATCACAATCAATGCTAATAGTTTTTGCTTTTCGATTTCGTCAGTGATAAATAATCATGTCTAGGATACGAATGTGAACAAGAAGCACATTCATATTATTATCGGAATAATGCTTCCTAGGAACACACATGTATAGAGTATCAGTCAAAATTGAATCCATTTAGAGTTGTCTCCAGCAAAACTTGTTCTCGTTGTGATCCTGATATGCAAAGCGCCGGGTTCATTTATCCAAAACAATGAGTTTTTGTCTCTATCAGTGATTAATCGAGCCGTTCTCAAAATCTTTAGATGTCAATCTGCAGATGTTTGGATTGATCAAAAATATATTAGCAAGCTTCATCAATAAATCATCTTAAATTCAACAAAGGTGGCCGTCTTGCACCTAGACTAGTTCATATATTGAATAGAATGAATATGAAATGAGATTAAGGAGGAGTAATGTGTCGGTTGAGATATAGATGGCACGTTTATCTAGATGAATGTAATTTATCAATGAATACATATGCCTAGAAAACAAAATTCAATAGGCATACCTGCAAATGCTGAAAATATGTGGGACGGTTCATTATAATTATTACTAACTAGAACTGCTAAAGAGCATTTTATCTCCTTCCTTTACGTATATAAATATAATGACCGAGAGACGGCTAGATTACATTACTAAGAATAACTTTTATCATCGATTTATTAATCTTCAATTCTAGAAACTGCTCGTACAATTCAAAAATTAACTCGTATACACTGTACCATTATTCAACTTAGTCTCACGAAGAGACATTATGACTGATTCACTTGCAATAATATTATCAAGAATCATTTTGCCTCTTATTATTGTTATTGTTATTGTAGACAATGCTCTTAATATTATTATACTGAGTCGACCCACTTTGCAGAAACATGCATGTTCCAGTTATTCTCTTGCACTAGGCTTCAATAATCTCTTTTGTTCTATCTTTCTTATTTATTCTTTACTGGGTAGCGTCTATCAAATATACGCACAAAATAATTCACTTTTTTTGTTGAAATTTCTGTATACTATCCAGGCTCTATTGCCATTCATTTCAGTCAACTAAACTGTTATTGGCGCATTCGATCGATTTTGTGCGAGTTCAACAAATGGTCATCTACGTAACTGGAGTAATCCAATTGTAGCTCGACGGGCAATTTTCATTATGATTTTATTTTGGTGTCTATTTCACACCAACACTCTTGTTTTGTGCGATTTACGTTTTCATGATTATCTTGGATGTGGTATTTCGAACAAACGCTGTTTTCAATCAAATATATGTCATTCTAGAAACTATATTCTTCATTATATTAGCACCGTGCAGTATGGCATTGTTCGACATGTTGACGATCTTTAGTACGAAGAGAGCGCGATTACTTCCGACAGTCAAAGCATCCTATCGTCGCACTGACGGTCTACTTATTCGCATGCTCCGTTTACAAGTGGCTTCTTATGTTGTTCTTAATATACCTCATGATAGAGTTACCGATAGGGTATCGACCATCACCCAGCTTTATGTTTGTCTTAGCAGTTGCTGATTTTCCCTTCGCTTTTTTTCTATGCTGCACCATTTTTTCTCTTCATTCTGTCAGCTCGCGTTTACAGGGAAATATTCCTTCAAATTTTATATAGAGTATTACGTATCAATGACAGCATTCGAGTTAATGCAACATCAATGACAAACGGTTTTCAAATGTCAATGACTAATGGTTTTCAACCAACAGTCGCATATAAAAATATGATGATATTAGTACAAGAGTGAACTAACAGTGACCAAGTAACTTTTATGAAGTAAATATAATTTGATGTTGTAAATTTTACTGTAATATCTTCTGTTTTGCCACAGTTGTCCCTTAAATCGGTCAAGAAAATATATTGATCAAGTCGCGGAGCCCATTCACAAGGAACATTTGGTTGTATCATTAAATCTTTTTGCACACTTTTACTGAATTCATTCTCTTTTTCTTGAAGTATGAAAAAGAATTGTTTAATAGATGGCCATCAGCTGATGTAACAAGTGGTACTCTATACATGCGTCCGTTAAATTGTGCTTCTTTTTAACAGGTGCTTCTGTTGTTCATGCACCAGTATAAGAAAGAGTCTTTGCTGGCGCGTATTCTTGCTAACAAGGACAGTGATCACTATTTTAAATTCGATGAGAAGCATAATTTGATATCACAGTTCTTTTAATTTCGATCCGTTTTTGAACATCTAAGATATTCGTATCTATATTGCATTAAGACAAAGAAATTTAAAGTTTAATTACCATTTAAAGTGCCGGCATTTCTATTTGCTTTAATTCGAGTAACAATTTTATTATATGACTGTGAGTCAAACCATGCAAAGCCATACCTCGCCCTCAAGATATGTTTAGTTGGCAGTATTTATTTTTAAATTATTCAAGTTATTTCATCGTTCGAAGGAAGTCTAATTGTTTTACAGTAGATTTTGCACATCTGCTGCAGTCGCCCAATTGTCACATGACTCACCGATACAAATAGACTATAGTCTCTCACACGACTCAGTTGAAAAGAAGCCATTTCATTAGTTACTAAATACAAGTGTTTTTTTTTCTTATTTTTATTACTTTGACATTTAAATGTTGGATTAAGAAAAGAATAGACTCTAAATCCTAGTTATATTTTACGAACAATACAATTAGAAGTAGGTAACAACAACGAAATGTCTATTCAGGTAATAAAAAAAACAGATTCTAGAAAACATAATTCAAAGAGATATTGCTTTTAGACAAATCGCGCCGAACCTAGTTCTCCTAATGCTCATACAGATTTCACATGTAATCAAGAGCAACAGCTAAGCTCAATTAGCAGATCAATTGAAGAAATGAATTCGGACAAAAATGAAACATTGCCTAACGAAAAGAAAGCCCTCAAACGACATCTCGGTCTATTTTCTGGAATCTCGTTCATACTTGGCACGATCATTGGTGAATAGGGTGTATTGATTGCAAACTATTTTTGTTTGGCATATTTTTTGTGTCTCAGGTTCGGGAATATTTATTTCGCCAAAAGGTGTTCTAAAACAGACAGAATCGATAGGATTATGTTTGGTAGTATGGGGATTATGTGGTCTCATATCTATATTGGGTGAGATTTTGAGTTATAAAAAGTTAATCTTTTTCCTCCGATACATATTTTTATTATAGGTGCATTATGCTATGCAGAAATAGGCACAGTTATACCGCTGAGTGGTTCCGAATTAGCTTATATGCGAGAAGGTAATGTTGCAATTGTTAGGAGTATTTTATTTTGAATACGTGAAAAAGCAACTTGCATTTTCTTTGAATGCGTCTTATGTTTAAAAGCAATTAAAATAAATCTTTTGAGAGCATCCATTGCATCATACGTTTTATTAATATTCGTTCAAAATTTTGAATAAAGAAACCATTAAGAAATCGAGATAAAATTATTAAGATGAATAAGCAGATAGAAAAAAAACAGAAAATAAAAAGTATGATTCATTTCCCCTCAATAAATATTTTTCTCGTGCTTTCTTTTTCGTCAAGGAACCTGTTTCTTTATCGGGCTTTCCTCAGCGTTTTTGGAATATCTGCGTATTTTCATGAGCATCATCTATCATACAGATCATTTTGAAGATAGTAAAAGAACGAGTGAGTTTATTCCACATGAAAAATCTTCATATGTCTATTTTTCTTGTGCCTAAATTTATTGCAGTACCATACATAAGTTCATCAATGAAAGACAAGAGACATAACAGGAGAAGCGAGAAATGCACCGACTTGTCTGTCGAAATAGAATACAGAGCTATAGTAGTTACTATTATGGAAGAAGGCAAAAACAAAATAAAATGGTTACAATCGGTACGGCTTGTAAATTATGCTTGAAGAGAATGAAACTGTACGCATGCGAAAGATGTGAGTTTTGAAAAGCACCGTACGATTTATTGTTACATTGAAAAAAACATTTAGCACAATTCTTACTTCAGTATCATGTGTTTGTTAATCTTTCTGACTTATTGAAGGGAATCTTTTAATCAATAAAGACTCATTTTATTCATTTGTAAATCACATTGTTTTCTAAAACCATTTGTTTTTTCTCCTTGTATTCAAATACATTCTACTGCCCTATAATTGTATGACTATCTCGAGCATGTAGTTATATTTAAGTGATATATTTCTGAGTTTCATAGGACGAAAAGTTGATATATAATTTAGAAATATTGTGTTCCATAAAAGGGGGATTTCGCTAAAAATAAGAATGTGATATTAGTATAATAGCTCATCTTTTGTCACAACGAAAGGACGGTACATATATTAACTTCTTTCCAGTACTAGAATGCTATAGGTCGCATTTAAAGATATTAATTACACTCGATCGATGTTTTTCAATAACGTTTAAAAATGGAAAAAATGCACCGGGATTTAATATAGTCCATTCAACTGAATAAATAGCTTTTCTTTTGTAAAATGTTACGTTGTAACAGTGTTTCGCATAATTTTTTCTCACCGAAAGTTTATCACCAATTGATCTATAAACTAGGAATCGGATCCGTTCATGCTCGAACTGGTGATATACTTGCTTTTATCGTCAATTGGGCGAATACATTCATTCTTCTGCCATCAACTACTGCTATTCTTTCTTTAACATTCGGAACATATTTCCTGTCGGGAGTCACGAATAGTAAATATCAAATTATCTATTTATCTTTGTTTTTTAGTTAATCAACATAGGTCCTAGTCCACCGATAAGATTCATCAAAATGTTGGCAATCTTTGTAATCGGTTTGTTAATTGATTCACTTTTATTTCTTTTTCTCTTCTACACGAAAATGCATGACGACTTAGGAATCCTTGGTACTGTAAATGGAATTAGTGTGACGGCATCGAATAGACTAAATATTATTTTTGTTATATCCAAAACGGTGACAATTTTAGCAATTGTAATAGGCGGTCTCGTACGCATTGGGCAAGGTTTTTGAAGACCTATAGAAAAGAATAAGAAACACAACTCTCTAAGGAATTCTTTTATTTTGATTAGGTTATACTGAAAACTTAAAAACTGGCTTTGATGGTAATTGCAATTATTTTTTTTATTCAAAGATTGATAATTTGTTTCACGATTATTCACACTAAAATAGGTACAACAAGCAATCCATTAAGTATTTCACTTGCTTTCTATTCAGGCCTTTGGGCATACGGTGGATGGGCAAGTTTGAATTCGGTGACCGAAGAGCTTAAAAACCCGAAAAGGTAATCATATTTAATAAAAAAAGAAAAGAATGATTTATACCAATATCATTGATTATCTGACATGCTTTATAGAAATTTGTGGCTGTCAATTGTGGTGGCTCTTTCATCAGTAATTGTCCTATATCTTCTCACGAACATATCCTATTTTACAGTGATGAACACAGCTGAATTGCTAAGTTCTGATGCTGTAGCTATGGTAAATATCAATCTAACTAGCTACCTGAATGAATAATATATACTTTGATGACATTCTCACCAATTTTACAGTTGAACCTATTGAATTCAATAGTAGCAAATAAGCTACAAACGTTTTCTAGTCTATCTCTCACATAGTGGGAAGAAAACGAGACCCAGAAACTTTCCTCGTAATTACTGTTTCGAATAACAAAGTATTTTCTGCAGTTTCTCACCTGAATCTAACGGGTTGCTCTTATCTAACCTCTCTTGTTGGTCAAACTTTCGAAGAAATAGATTTTGTGCTAAATATTTCGATATTTCTCGTTGCTATTATTTTTACGGTACGGACACTGAAAAATGTTGCCGTTTGAAAAAGCAACAAATGAAGATGTAACTTTCACAATTTACAAGGCTAATCGATAATAGTAGTTATGTTGTGAATAGCGGCGTTAGCCATGCAACGGAATTGTCACCACTGCACCGCCGAAATCTGAAAGAAAAAAAATCGTTTTTTCCTATATACGTTAATGTTTACACGAGGGAATTTCTTCTTAACTCTTTCAGTTATTTATATGTTGGAAAAGCTAATAATCAACGTCTGAAAAAGTAGAAGTGCGAAGCGCTTTTATTAATATTGATAGCTTCAATTTGATTTGAGACGCAAACAGTATTATAAATCAATTATCGGTAAATCATCGAGTGATAGGAACTCATTAGTACACTAAACCAAAACAAAATTACGCGCTCTATCTGCATTCTCCAAACCGCTATTACTAATGACTAAAGCTGGCAAGCTTTCTTATATCTTGCTACACATCAATAAAAACTAGCTTACTTTTGAGCCGCTAGATCTTCTAATTTTGTACATAGTTGAATATTAATTTATTACTGCGTTCTTTATTTCCTACATTTATTGTCTTGATCAAATTAATTTTGGAAAAAATAGTTATTTCACTCAAGCTTTTGAGGCTATATTTATCATGTAAAGAATTATTCAGTTTCGAACTTTCTAATCACTATATCAGTGAAGAATCCAAGCTATTGCTGAAGAACATACTACGTATCTAGTTGAGAAAACAACCCAGTCATAGCTCCAACGTCCGATTTCAATCTGACTTGTTAGTAGAGTAAAGTGTTCTGTGGAAAAGTTCGATACTAAAAGAACGAAGACCAGTAAAAACCAAACCCTGCTATGAGTTTTCACCGTTCATAAGTATCCATCGAAAGAATATAGTTCAAGACCAAAAATAATTTAACACATAGAGGTATTCTCTCGAGAGTTACCATCGTTTCCCTATGAGAATGCTAAAATTGAAAGCTCTCTTCAAGTTATTTTTAGAACCAACAATCAATAGAGAAGTTTTAAAACTCATGGATTTGTATCTGTATTGTTTATTGATAACCTCATAAGTCTATCCGATAAGCATTTCTTATACAGGTCACTTAGAGCAAATCCGCGTGGAAAATTATAGTTGAGACGCGGTATATCAATAGAAGCATGAATACACATCTACCAGAAGTAGATGATAAGACCTTCTATCAAAAGTAAGTTCTCATATTCACTAGGAATCATTTTTGTCCTACTAAATGTAATTTTCTTGTCTTATTAAACCATGTAAAGTTTAAAAAATTTTAAAAGCCCATCATACATAATAAACACTTAACAAAAAGTAACTAGAAAGCGACATTTGCTTTTAATATATTGTTATGAAAAAACTGAAAATTGTCTTGTGTGCCATTTTTATATAATTTTTCTACACCATGACTACTGATGCACTGCTGATTCTCATATTCAATCGGAACTCATATGACATATAGATGCTAAGGCATCACAGCGTGAATCTTGACCACAATATGGATCTAGATCTCTGAAGTCGATCTGGTTTCATCATGCAACAGAAAGAAATTCGAACTCAGCCCAGTAATCCATTCATTATTTACTAGAACACTGTATTAGTATTTTGACTAATCTGTGAGTAACTTCTTTAGGAAATCTTTCACTTTGTCACTCACATTTTCTGACTGACAGAAGCAAGAGATGCATCCGTCGTTAGACCCTGGCTTATACGAGTCACGAATTTAACTATTCACTTACGTAATTATGTTGAATCTTTCCTTTTATAAATGTTTTTAGACATGGGGAGAAGCTGTGTTAGGTCCCGCTGTTCGTGTATTGACGATTTTGGTTTCGTTTAGTGCATTGGGCAGTGCCAATGCAAAAATTTATACTTCTGGTCGTTATTTTATGGTCGGCGCACGTTATGGATACTTACCTGAAATGTTTTCTTGCATTCAAAAACAACGATTAACACCATTACCGAGTATTGTACTTATGGTTTGTATGGCATGAATCTATTAATTCTTTTAGACGTATTTATTTGTTACCTTTATATTTTTAAGACTATTCTCAGTATTATCTATTGTATTCCCAGTAATATTGGGAATTTAATCGGATTTGTCAGTTTCGTTTCTTGGATGTTTTTTGGGTTGACATTTCTTGCCACAATATTCTGTAAATTTACCAAAGCTAAAGCCGATCGAGTTATTAAAGTATACTTATTTTTAATTTCTATAGAATGTAAACGAGAAGATGTGCCTTTTTTTTTTCATAGGTACCAATACCTGTAATAATTTTTATGATATTAGTTTCTATCTATCTTGTTATTGCACCTGTTATATCCAGTCCAAATATTGGATATCTTGTTGCGCTCATTATTCTGCTTGTCGGCTTGGTATTCTACTATTTGTTTGTTTTTCGTAAAATACAGCTAAAAGTGATGAGTAAGTTTATTTATTATTTAGTAGCTTTCGCTGAGTTCACTCGAAATTTAATTTTTTTTCAGAGAAAATCAATATGTTTCTTCTAGAACTTTTTCATTTAACAATGTCGACAGTCAACACTGAAGAATAGTTCAATTTTGTTGAATAAACTATTTACTATGCTAGAAAAATAATTAACGGACTGCATTGGTTATTGTTCAGAGGATACACTATTAAAATTTTAACAGAGATTTTGTGCAAACCGCACTATATCCAATTCAATTCTTACAAGTCACTTCATCGGAGCCGCGCCCAGATTTTTGGCAAAGCTGTTCAATCGATAGTTTTAGATATTCGTGAAATTTAGCCAAATTTTCAGATCTAATTGATTCTTATTTATTGAGATATGATCATCAGATTAATACAACCCAAAATAGTCTTCTACTGATTTTAAACACTTTTTATTAAATGTTTGTTTGAAATGTCGTTGGGATATCTCCTCACAAGCACGCGATAGAATTTTGAAATCGATTATTCAAGTATTCTATCGAATACTATCCGATTCGTGATGAGCTGTTCCTATAATTTTCAGCTCAATGCTACTCTACTTATAACGTAGGCTCAAAGGTAGGTTATCTTAGTGATTGGCGCTCGTCAAATCAGCTTGATAGAATTTGCTCAACATTTTTCTATAAGACTACCCACTTGGCATTACTTGCGCATATAGTCAAATGTTTTGTATCCTGAATTTTGACCCGGCAAACATTATTTCAGTATGGCATCTTATTTGTTATTGTACAGGACACAGGACTTCAGGCATATTCGACAAAATTAGAAAATAAAAGTCTTTTGATCTGAAACTTTCACCAGCTATACATCTCAAAGTTACCAGTCATTTATATCGTGTTCAACTCCAACGATAAAACTTCCATCATATCTTGATTTTGTTTTAGATAGATATATTTATGACTGTGAAGATTTAGAGTAGCAAAATAATTGTTTTATTGGATTTCGTAATATTCATATGATTTAATAGTTAGTCTATATATCATTCGGCGGCGAATTGAAAAATGAACAGAACTGTATATCATCTGATGAGCTAAAACTAAAAATGGTTATTAATAATAGAAACATATTCTATCTAAGAGATTGTGCACAAGAATTTTTGAACGGGGATGGCGATTATTGTACTTAATGGAGTGGCTTACTTTTGCACAAAAGCTTCCTCATTACTTGAAGTTTCCTCTTTTAGGAACAAAGTTAAATATATAGACTTGATGAATAAGTTGTCATGACAATATGATGACTCGAATATTAACACTAAAAATAGCTTTTCAATTATTTCATAAAGAAATTGAGTGAACTATTAAAATGAATAGAAAGTACGTTGGATACAAAATTCTCATGTACTTTACTTTTTTTCCTAAGGGCAGCGTAGGATGTGAGTGCACTCGAAAGAAAAGAAAGTATTAAACCACACACCAACAACCACACTCGTCCTAGTGTTTTAACACAATATTTCAATCACAAAACGATTTCTGAACATGTGTCGCCACTACCCAATGTACATTTAACTTTATCTTCCATGAAACAAATCTATTGTTACTATAAAAGTTTCTGAAAAAAATTAGCTAAGATGCAATTACTAGAAAACATTATTTAATTCTGCTAAATTTACACAATCTATGTCGCAATAAACGACCAATGAGAGAAAACTTGAAATTCAATCGAAAAAATGTTTATTTGTATCTATGAAGTTTCAGAACCCTCCTAGGATTGGACCAGTGTTGTGAACAGGATCCTTCTAGGGTTAAAAAAAAATTTCAAAAATTCTATCAAGTTTATCATTTACTCTTGAAGAGGATTTCAACAAGGTCCTGTAAAGGCTTTCCAGTTTTTTACTAGAGATCTCTTTATAGAATTAAAGAGTGTGGGGTATGGATGCGGGGATGTACATCTCTAAAGAAGATCATACTTACGTTAGAGGTGTAAGCCGACCCCTCGGTTGGCGGCGGCGGTTTACACCTCTAATCATACGTCACCGGTGGTGCATGACCACTTCCTCCGCTGGGGAAGCCGCATCTCTAAATTTCGAGATATGAGACACTGCTCGAACTAGTGCATGTTGTAGAGCAAGTTTCGCTATATCGAACTGCTAGTGCCGCTATTCTGGTGAGTTCTGACTCACACATGAAATGTCTTCAAATACTATGCCTCACTACTAGTTTACAAAGTACCCTCGTAGTCCGGAAAAGTTCTTCAATATTACTTTAATTCCTATGGGCTCTGATGCAGTTTTTCACAAGGATTTTGAATATGTGATTGTTTTTAAAATCTGAGTGAAAAAGTAAGATTTTCATCACTTTTTCGAAAAAAATCCTTTTTCATTTGATGGAAAAAGAAAAAGTACACTTTTTGCATTTGGCCTTTATCTTTGCGAAAATAGAATTTATTTTGAAAACGTTTATTACCAAAATGATCAGCGAAAAGTTCTCTGCAAACTCTGTAACTTTGAATGGATTCTGGCTTGGCCGCCGGATTGGCTGGCGATTTCCGGTGGAATGAACCTAAAATTAATTTTTTCAATTCTGAAAATTCCAGCAGGTCAAATTTCTGGATCTGACCGAACTTGAGTTGGCTGAATCTCCACCAGACCACTTCAGGGTAGTCCCCTCTTAATTTAAGATTATGATCAGCACGTGCTCGGCTAATAAATAGCCACGAAATAATCTTGAAAAAATAGTATGATAATAGACAAGTTTCTTATGATTTGCCTAGTTGTTTATACAGAAGTACACGATTTACTGCCGTGTGCTTTGCTGCCGTTGTAAACAATTGTTTACATATAGATTTTTTTATTTTTAGGAATTTTTAGGAGAGTTTTTCTGTGGTACATTATATGATTATCTTAGATAATTCTAATGATTACAATAGAAAAGCTATTTAGATTTTCTCTCATAAGTTTTGCTTTTATCTCAAGGAATCGTAAAAATATATTAAAATCTAACTATAGTTTGTAATCAATTTAATATATTGAAAAGAAATTATTCATTTTCTATCTCAATGGTTTATTTCTCATATGAAATGTTCGTTAAATCATGCTTATGGTTGTCTATAGTTCGTAATTGAATAAAAAGATTTAACGAAAAGTTTATTTGTTATGTCAAAAGTTCGGGAAATTACATTGAAATGTAACTATAGTTGGTAGTGTACTTCATTGCTTAAGAATTTTTTAAAATTCTCTAGCTCAAAGGTTTATTTTTCATGTCAAATGTTCGTAAAAATGTATTCAAGTCTATCAATAGTTAGTAATCGAATACGTAAATTGAAAAAGAGGTATTTTTTAGCTCAAAGAGTTGTTTATTTTTTTAAAATGATTGCAAATGTTTGTTAATTTAAGTATATAGTTCGCGTGTTATTTTTACTCCAATCTAATAATCTGATTTAAATTTTAAATATTCCTAGGATTCTCTAAAAATCGTACAAAATTAGATACGTCAGAAAAGTCTTAATTTCACGAAACGAACCATTAACGTTATGTTTCTTATTTATTAATCGTCTATACTGTGATCATTAGTGTATTTGAACTGTAATTCATACAACTTACTGAGTAAGTGGTTAGGTGAACGTAAGTAATAATTTTATTATATATAACATGTAAAATTATTCGAGCAAGAGGCATATTAATATTGGTTTGAGTAGTTATGTTAATGAAAGAAAGCGGAAAGGCGCGCTTTATCAAATTGTTTCATTATTGGTAATTACAGAGAAAAATATGCTATTGTGCAGTTGAGGTTTATTGTATTTTACCAAAAAAATAAAGAAATATTAATCTATACATGATTGAAATATCATGAACATGACACTAATAAAGCTTACAGACAGAGAGAAGTTATATCAACTTTGTCGATTGATATTTTAGAAATAGCAGTAGTTGGTTATATAATATTTATTTATCTTGATGTTTTTATTGTAGCGACTGGATGTGTTATTAGTTGAACTAGGTAGGAACGTATAATTCTCAATTTTTAGTCTGATTTAATAAAAGAAGATGAAACGCGAAGTGTTCAAAGGAAAGCAGAATTATTTTAATGCTTAATTATAAGAAAGTTTTAAAATGATTTTATTAGCACTATCATATATTAAATAATTATAAAATGTTCAATAAATAATAATGGTATTTCTTTTTGATGATTTTATTAGATTTTTTATTTCTAATTTTTGAGGATAGTTAGAAAAGGGTGTGCGTGTGGGTATGTTGTGAATGTATGTGCAGGTTCAGCGAATACCGATAACCACACCCACACCCTCAAGATATTCATTTAATAGGCTACTTAGACGAAAACATTATTGTTTTATTTGAAAGAATTTTCACCAGCTGAACTCATATAATCAAAAGCATAATTCATTCTGTTTATTGAATTCGGACAAGAAAAACAATAATAAATTTGATTATACTATAAATCCATAACCATAAATAATTAATGAGAAATCGTCAACAAAATTTTTAAAATGAAAATGTATTTTCTCTTAAATTAATCAGTCAAATATAAATATAAAAGTATATCTTAAGCATTTTTGTTTTTAAAATTATACATTTGTAATGATCCAACGATAAATGATAATATAAATATTGAGTTCAAGAAAGCTTTTATGTAAAAAACAATAAACTACTATAAAATATTGAATACACAATTTTAATGATATAATGTTATCATCAATGGATTTAAGAATCAATTCGTTTACAATAAATGTCTTCATTGCATATAAAACATTATAGAAGTTTCATAGATTAATATAAAAAAAAGATCAATTTAGAAACTAAATTTTTCTACAAAGAACGCTAAATAAATAAAATTTATTCAGTATTATTTACATCTATGACCATTTATAAGATGGATCTAATCTATTATATAATTACTGTTACTCCTTTTTACATTAACAGTATTCCATTAAATAAATTATATATGTACAATGGTTTGCAAAAAAACTTTGAACAATCTCACAACATAAAGATTTTATGTTTTTTAGATTCTCTTGAGCCTTTGTTTTGCGGTCATTGTAGATTTACACTAAGTAGATTATCTACGAAAAATACTCATATATTTGATTGGTTTCTATTTTGCAGTTCTGTAATAATAACCTGATATAGCCAAGACAACCAGTCTAAAATCACATCTAATTTTCTAATTACATTATTGGAACATCAGAGTTTGTTCTAATAAGAAAATCTACCGATATACAAAGATAACATTGCCTACAATTAGATGCCAAATTAAAAATCTCAGAACTCAATGCTTTTGGGAATATTCAGCAACTAATGGTCGAAAAAAATTTGATTAATACCAAATACAGCTAAAAATTAGGTCCATTTATTCGAGAAAATAATGAACTACTATAAAACAATTGACTGAAAAATGGCGCGAACAATGTAAATTAACGGTTTCCACGAGTTCAATCTCGCGCTATTTGAATCGCCTTAAAGATGAACATTACAAAACTTTATAATCAAAATTGACTAACAGAAAAAAGATAGATGTTCCTTGGTTATTGAAAAGAAAGCAGAATGAATCAAATATTGGATCAGATATTCTGAGACTGTAAACTGATATGTATTAAATATAGAAACATTTTTTTGGAAGCATTTAAAAAAGGCGTTAATATACGCTACCCAGGTCGATCAAAACGGACCACCGTAAACCGGCGTAACATTACCGTAAACGGTCGTTTTGCAGCGTATTCCGTCGTAAAACGGCCGCTTTAAGCCGAATTAAGGCGTTTTAACAGGGGCAGTATTACGTCCAAACACGGACACCGTATATCAGCCGTAACACCTCGTAAAGCCGGCGTAACATTATCGTATTCCATAGAACATGCGGCCGTATTACTACCCCTGTTATACGGGGAAAATACGGCACGTAAAACGGGCCGTATTTGTATCGTATACGACCGTTTACTGATCGTTTTCTTCGACCGGGGTAAAAATTCGCTCCAAGTTTTTTTGCAAACCATTGTATATTGTTTTAGTTTGCATTTTCTTTTCAGGCTCGATAATACCACTATCCAATACTATTATGTCATTAAATGTCATATTATCAATGATAAAATACATTACGCCCAAATGAAACGTCATTTAATGCTTTGCTTTATTCCGATCAATCAAAGTTTATTCAAAAGATTATATTATATGAACAT